TTATTTCCCTGAGGTACAGGAAGACTTTTGCTGCCGCTGCTAGAGGAAGTGGTAAGTCGTGTTTGTTTGCTTCCCCACGCCACATAACGGTGGAACTCCATTCACCATGCTTGAGGACCTTGATTTTGCCTTGGTTAGGGAGTTTAAATATAACTATTAGAAGTATGATCACGGAAGAATGGTAGAATTGACAGAGAAATAGAAACCAATATCAGACAGCAAGAGCACATATACCAATTGTCACCATTATTAAGACATCCAAGCATAACTATGAGTGCACAGAGACAGATTATAAACAGCATATTCATTCCAACATTAAGCTACCAGTGCCAAACATGGACACTATCTAAAGCTCACATATATGCAGAATCCCCACCTGCGAGAAGCGATGCCTGAGAAAAGCAGCCAACCTAACCATCAAATAATCTGTCATAGTGTTTTTTACATTTTCTTTTTTTTAAGCATATGCAGAATAAAGACGGACCCTCGTACATCACGGCGTGTGCTCCTCCCTCCCAGCTGCCGGAACGACATTTCTGCTCTGTTTGCGGGTATCCTTTTGTCAGTGTGGAAAATATGTTAACTCTTTCATCCCGAGAACTCTTCAAAACAAAAATTTAAGTCATGACCCCATTAGGATTGTTGAAGAAAAAAGTGAAAACAGCAATTTTCTTTTTTCAGACACAGTTCCCTAAAAATATAATGCTTGGTTTGGGCATGTGGTGAGATATGATTCAGTTGCAAAGACTGTACTTCAAGGAACATTAGAGAGTAGTCGAAGAAGAGGAGGGCAAAGAAGAACCTGGAATGACAACATAAAGAAATGGACACGACTGAGTTATCATACACTTATTCATCAAGCAGAAGACAGAGAAAGATGGCGGGTTTTATGTGCTAGTGCTTCGATCGATACACCTCCACAACCCTGATGGGTCAAGGTTTATGTTATGTTACGTGTTATGTTAATAAATATAATGGCATAACAGGACAATGAATGAGTAAACTAATAAGAATATCCCGAGTGCTGTGATGTTGGTTGTTGACTTACCTTTGTATTGATTTAGCCTTGAAATGGTTGTCAGGCAATGTTCTGGGATATAAAGGCAGCCAGGATGATACTGACCTCTTTGCTCATGGAATCCCACTGATCTATGAGAAGGAAGGGCTAACTCTAAATGCTCATGGAATCCCACTGATCTATGAGAAGGAAGGGCTAACTCTAAATGCTCATGGAAGCCCACTGATCTATGAGAAGGAAGGGCTAACTCTAAATGCTCATGGAAGCCCACTGATCTATGAGAAGGAAGGGCTAACTCTAAATGCTCATGGAATCCCACTGATCTATGAGAAGGAAGGGCTAACTCTAAATGCTCATGACACATTGAGGTGTGGCAATGATTCTTTGCTGACGTAAGACTGGTCTTTATGTCAGTCCATTAACCCTTTCACCCCGAAACACTAAAAAAATAGGTCATGAACCCAGGGGGAAGCAACTCTGTTCCGTTTAAAATGCCATGCATTTTACGCAGGTCACTAGCAGATTTGTTTTAAAATGTATATCTAGATTTAAAAGAAAATTTCAAAACATAAAAAGGGAGTAATCATGTAATAAGTACTAATGAACAAAGTTGAGTTGATTCAAGAACTGACATCACAGCTTTAGTGGCATCACATAAGCGCTGCATCCCCATCTTCAGCAGCCAACACAGAGTTCCAGTAACAATGGTGCCAGTAGCATTCTAATTATATGTCTGTCTTGCCTTTCCTCTGAGCGCCAAGTATTGGCCAGATTCCCTCATCACTCCTCGTCAGTTTTCTCGCTGCCTCACTCTCACCAGATAGTAATGATGAATTTGCTGTTTCAAATTGTAGACATGCTCCCATAATGCCTTAACCAGGTCTGCCTTGAGTTGACTTCACAGCACTGAGGGCATTCCCACAAGCACTGTGTCCCCAACGTCAGCAGCCATACAGAGTTCCAATACCAGTTGTGCCAGTAGCCATCTGATTATATGTCTGTCTTGTCATTCCTCTGAGTGTCGAGTATTGGTCACATCACGTCGTCACTCCTCGCTGCATCACTCTCACCAGACTGATAATCATTTTTTTTTCCGAATTGTACGTATGCTCTGATGAGGCTTGACCCCCGTCTGCCTCATCATGCATCAGTATTCCACCAAGTTGTGCAGGGCCAGCCAGTCTGTCCACCTGTTCATTACCCAACTCACCGGCAACCCCGGAGAAAAGATCAAGAAAATTCTCTTTACTGCCTGACCTCCGAAGTAAAGCATGACACTCTGCATGAAGCATTCCTGTCACTTCCTGATCATGCTTTCAGAGTCAGTCTCGATGTGTGTGTGTTATGGTCTCTAGCTGTGAACAGAGTGAGACATTCAGTCTCGTGCATTCTCCTGGTAGAGGGGGTTCTTAAATATACAAAACGGGCATGTAACAGTTACATTTTCTGAATTGAATGTAATCCTTAATTATGGTTAGATTTCCGTCGAACTACACATGTGTTGTCTGTGGGTCAAGATATTGCTGTGTCAAATGTTTAGGCACTCACCAAGATACACGGTAGGTGGTTTATTTATCCATTTCTCATTTACTTTCTTCTTTACGGAAATTTAAAGTTTGTTGAATTGATTTATTAATTGTATTGGATTTAATAAAGTTTTTTGCAGTGCAATATTTGCTTATCCAGTTTTTGTATCCTTCTTCTTCTTCGCGTTCGACAGCTGTAAACTCTAGCGGGAAAGTTCTGGTTGTTCATCCACTTCTGGACTGTAGTCCTGTTCCAGAACTTGAGTGTTGCATGTGCATCCATTTGACAGATCCGAGTAATTTGTATGCCGACTGTTGGTTCCTTGCCTATTCTTGATTTCCCTATAACAGGGCCCCGGAACCCACACGGGGAGTTTTTGTATCCTAATTCTGTCATAATTTATTTATTTGCCTTCTTTCTTCTTCCACAATTTGGGATGGCTGCTCCAAATCTAATGTCAAACGGCTGAGTTCTCTACAAAATAGGGCATTACGCCTAGTTTCCGATACAAACTACGTTGAGAAAAATCTTTTATATGGACATCTAAGGCTTCTGCCATTTAGTAAACGTTTAATTTTTAATAAGGCCAAATTTATTCACAAAATCCTATCTAAAGATACTCCAAATTACATAGACCGATTTATTCAATCTAATCCTAAGAATAGCAAGCGACTAGGTTTATTACATTTGCCTAAACCCAGAATTGATTTATTTAAAACAAGTCTAGCATATTCTGCTGCTCATTTATGGAACCATCTTCCACCCGATCTGAAAACTACAAAAAAGTCCTTACTCAGTTAACCGCAAACTCTTTCATTTCATCATTATCTGTGATTACATGCCACCTTAAATGTAGTTAATAATCCACAATGCATTACTAGTTATAATTAATTGCAGTACGTATGATATGTTTGTATGCGTATATGTGTGACATGCTGGCGTGTGTAGGCATATGTGTGTATGTATGATTCTGTGTATGCATGGGTAACTGTATACGTTTGTGTGTATGTATCTGTGTGTAGGCGTGTGTCTGTTTGTCTGTATGGTGTCTGGGTGCGTGTCTGTGTGTGTCTGTCTGCGTGTCAGTGTGCGTGTCAGTCTGTGTTGTGTGTCTGTGTGTGTGTGTTTTTATGTCTATCTGTATGTGTGGCTGCGTGTGTGTCTGTGTGTGTGATTGTATGTGGATATGTGCGGGTGTGGCTTGGCTGCATGTTTGTCTGTGTGTGTGTGTCTGTTTGTGTGTATCTATGCTGTGTCTGTAGGTGTTTCTGCGTGTGTCTGTGTGTCTATGCCTGCGTGTGCCTGTGGCTGTGTGTTTCTCTGTGTGTTGTTTCGTGTGTATTTGTATGTTCAAATTTGTGATAATGTGTGAGTGTGTGCATGTGTGTGTCTGTGCGAGTATTTGTGCGTCTGTGGGTGTGTTAGTATGTGTTTGTGTCCGTCTCTGTGTGTCAGTGTGTGTGTGTGCCATTATGTGTCTGTAGGTGTGTATGGCTGCATGTGTATATGTGTCTGTCTGTGGGCTGTGCGTGGCTTTGTGTGTATCTGTGTGAGTCTCTATCGGTGTGTCTATTATATTATGTCTGCGTGTCTCTGCTTGTGTCGGGTTATGCCTCTGTGTGCGTATGTCTGACTGTGCGTGTCTGTGTGTGTATATCTTTGTATGTGTGGGTGTTGCGTATGTCAATGTGTGTGTCTGTTTCCCTGCCTGCGTGTGTGTATGTGTCCCCGTATGTGTGCCCGTGACTGCATGTGTGTGTGTCTGAATGTGTCTGGATTGTATGCGTGTGTGTTTTAGAGCGTGTGTATATGTGTATGTATGTATGTATGTATGTATGTATGTATGTATGTATGTATGTATGTATGTATGTATGTATGTTTTTATGTGAGTTTGTACGTATGTGAGTATGTATGTATGCATGTATGTATGCATGTATGCATGTATGTATGTATGTATGTATGTATGTATGTATGTATGTATGTATGTATGTGTGTGTGTGTGTATGTATGTATGTATGTATGTATGTATGTATGTATGTATGTGTGTGTATGTGTGCATGTTCGTATGTATGTGGATGTATGTGTGTACTTAGTGCCTATATGTGTCTGGATTGTATGCGTGTGTGTTTTAGAGCGTGTGTAAGTAAGTCATTGGGCTTGTGTGTGTATGTGGGTGTGTGTGTTCGTGCGTGAGCGTGCGTACATATTTTACCAGCCATGCTTTTGTTTTTGACTTCATATATATAATATGCATATTATTACATGAATATAACAGGCTTCATTGATGAAATACAACTGCTGTGTGAAAGATGGAAGTTTGGAAGGGCCGAATGTAAGACAGGCCTGCGTGCCTAATTTGTAACCCTTTGAAAATAAAGTTTGTTCGTTCGTTCTGCTCCTCCCTTTTTTTATCTCCGGGGAATAAAGTAGTTTTTTTTTATTACCCTCCCCCCCCCCCCCTCTTTTGTGTGCCCTTCACCATATTCATCTTTTATTACGTTCATCTTTTTTTTTTAAATATCTTTATCCACTTCGCCTTTGCCCTCTTCCTATTGTTGTTTCTTCTTTCTCATCCTCTTTACATCTTGAAAGAATAAGGATCATCGTCAGATGATTCCTTGCTGGCTGGTGTTGATCATGTGTCTTCAGAGCTTGTAACACCTCTCCATTCCATGACTGAAGGTGTTGATCATGTGTCTTCAGAGCTTGTAACACCTCTCCATACCATGACTGAAGGTGTTGATCATGTGTCTTCAGAGCTTGTAACACCTCTCCATACCATGACTGAAGGTGTTGATCATGTGTCTTCAGAGCTTGTAACACCTCTCCATACCATGACTGAAGGTGTTGATCATGTGTCTTCAGAGCTTGTAACACCTCTCCATACCATGACTGAAGGTGTTGATCATGTGTCTTCAGAGCTTGTAACACCTCTCCATACCATGACTGAAAGTGTTGATCATGTGTCTTCAGAGCTTGTAACACCTCTCCATACCATGACTGAAGGTGTTAATCATGTCTTCAGAGCTTGTAACACCTCTCCATTCCATGACTGAGGGCTGTCAAGAATCTTCTCACTTTGTCTTCCTCTATCTCTCATTGATTGAACAGGTAACTAGAACATCTTACTGAGTCTCTGGAAGTGTGGATCATCATCAGGTGCCTTGCTGATTAGCATGGGCGATCATGCCTCTCCACAATCTGCGATCTCCTGCAGCATGTATCAGTGTGTGCTGACAGACCTCCATGCCATGCAACAAGACTGTCAAGAATCTTCTCTCGTTGCCTTCCACAGATTTTTCCAGTGGTCACAACATGTTTTATTTTCCCTTTTTTCATAACATGACCGAAAAATGATGACTGTCTTCTTCTGATGTCTGTGATAAGTTGTCTTCGGGCTCCCGCCTATTACATTTTCTCTTGGTTGCTCTTTTTGGCTGTCCAGGGTATTTGAAGCATTCTTCTGTAAAACCACATCTCTGAGGCCTTGAGAAATTGTTTGGCCTGCCTACCGATTGTCCAGGACTCACAACCATATGTTAAAACTGGATGTGTGTAGCAAGCAAGAATTCTTTTTCTAACCCTCAGTAACAAAGAAAGAAGTGTGGATATACAGAATTTCGTATACGTATTTCGTGGAAGCAAAACAAATCAAATACAGGGGTTCTGAAAAGACTGCTAAAGAAAAGAGACTAATTGAAAGAAGTTAAAAAAAAACAGTTGAAATATTTTTGGTCACATTAAATGTCATAACTTGCAGTTAAAAACCATACTGGAAAGAAAAAGTTGAAGACAAGAAAGCAAGAGGTAGACAACAATACAAGTGGGAGGACAGCATCAAGAGATGGACGAACAGCAGAGAGCCTACAACAGAGACAGAGTGTGCTGATCTATTGCAGCCGGTCTTCATTTTGGAGACGGCACCTGGTTGATTGATTGATCTTTCTTTCCAGAAATATTTCCAGTTATCATATCCTCCAGTTTCCCTTTTCTCATAACATAACCGAAAATTGATGTCTTTTTCTGATTTTTGTGATGAGGTACAGTAGGCAACTGTCAGTCCCCAGTGACCAAGGGTCTGCGTCGCTGGATTTGGAAACAGCGTTTGCTATGACTATAAAGTCAAATGCGGGAGTATCGGTCCCTGCCACATTGTCCACATAAAAACGTTGATACTCTATCGTTCTGAGTCTAATGTTCTCTTGAATGTCTCCTCTCTTTAGCTTTCTGCACATGGCCTCTTGCAAACTGCTGATAAGTTATGGAAAGAAGGACAAACAATTTAATTTTAATTCATTAACCCCGTGTGGGTACCGGGGCCCTATGGTGGGTAAAACAAGAATAGACCCACTGCCTGCCCAAAGGCATGTCTTGAGAGTCGACTAATTGGTAGCTTCCTTCGAAGTCGGAGTACATCTGCCTGAGAGGCAAGGAACCAGCAGTCTGCATAGAAATGAGTCAGACCTGTCAAACGGATGCACACGCAACTCTCAGTTTCTGGAACAAGGCTGCAGTCCAAAAGTGGACTAACAACCCAAACTTTCCACCAGAGTTTACAGCCGGTGAATATAAAGAAAGATGAATTTTAATTTATATTATTTTCTTTATTATCCAGGTGTCTTAAATGGACAGCATAGACCTGACCACGGCCATTGCTGCCCTGTAATGAGATGTTGGTTTCCTCTCACCACCTGATTTATTGTTGCTGATGCCTCAAAGAACAATCAGTCATCGCCCATAAAATGAGGACATACAAGTCTTGGAAAAACTGAGCCGACATCTTTGTCTTCTCTGGGACGTGCTAAAAATGCAGTCCTGTCAGTCTTGGAGGTGACTGCTGCTTCCAGAGCAGTCAGATGGACAGAAAAACATGCAGCCGCACATGCAGTAATTGTATCAGACTCCCTGAACATGTTTCAGAAAACGCACGATGTTATGTGCGTTCTGAATGGGTAGAAAGCTCTCGACAATCGCACTTAATGTCCGTCACCCGAGTCTGCAGATCTGGTCATGCTGGCGTAAAAGGTAACGA